AGAGAGAGAGAGAGAGAGAGAGAGAGAGAGAGAGAGAGAGAGAGACAGAGAGAGAGAGAGAGAGAGAGAGAGAGAGAGAGAGAGAGAGAGAGAGAGAGAGAGAGAGAGAGAGAGAGAGAGAGAGACAGAGAGAGAGAGAGAGAGAGAGAGAGAGACAGAGAGAGAGAGAGAGAGAGAGAGAGAGAGAGAGAGACAGAGAGAGAGAGAGAGAGAGAGAGAGAGAGAGAGAGAGAGAGAGAGAGAGAGAGAGAGAGAGACAGAGAGAGAGAGAGAGAGAGAGAGAGAGAGAGAGAGAGAGAGAGAGAGAGAGAGAGAGAGAGAGAGAGAGAGAGAGAGAGAGAGAGAGAGAGAGAGAGAGAGAGAGAGAGAGAGAGAGAGTGGGAGTCAGACACTGGACTCTGGTTCCTGTGCTCCACCTACACAACTGCACAAGTGTGATTTTCTCTTATTTATTCCAACTGTATTTTTGAGCTTCTATGTTTTTAGAAATGCTCTCAAATATCAGGTGTTTCATGTCAAATGTTCACTGCAAACTCAGGAGGATTTAGTCAGTCAAATGTTTCCTTTTTGGTTCTTCCTGTGGATCAATCCTGCCCATCACCTTCACCTTTCACTATTTTTCAATTCTGTTGGGAAGAGAAACAGTTTGAACAGAGGTTTGAGTCACACACATCTGATTCCCTTTTACATTTATAAAGTTCACAAACACATTTCTCGAGACATTTTCTGCTGTTAGGATCCAACAACCACAACAATTAACAATGTCTAAATCCCAAAACTAAAATATGACAATATCAGAACCAGAAACAAAAGTGATATGGTTCAAAAGACTTGAAAAGATCCACTTTGACAATAGACACATCCCACTGGGAAAACAAACATGGATATAGTTTAGACCTGGTTTAAATCTGGTTTAGTCCTGGTTTAGACCTGGTTTAGTCCTAGTTTAGTCCTGGTTTAGACCTGGTTTTAGTCCTGGTTTAGATGTGGTTTAGTCCTGGTTTAGTTCTGGTTTAGACCTGGTTTAGACCTGGTTTAGTTCTGGTTTAGACCTGGTTTAGTCCTGGTTTAGACCTGGTTTAGACCTGGTTTAGTTCTCTTTTAGACCTGGTTCAGTCCTGGTTTAGACCTGGTTTAGACCTGGTTTAGACCTGGTTCAGTCCTGGTTTAGACCTGGTTTAGACCTGGTTTAGTCCTGGTTTAGACCTGGTTTAGACCTGGTTTAGACCTGGTTTTAGTCCTGGTTTAGACCTGGTTTAGACCTGGTTTAGACCTGGTTTAGACCTGGTTTAGACCTGGTTTAGTCCTGGTTTAGACCTGGTTTAGACCTGGTTTAGTCCTGGTTCAGTCCTGGTTTAGACCTGGTTCAGTCCTGGTTTAGACCTGGTTCAGTCCTGGTTTAGACCTGGTTCAGTCCTGTGTGTCCCCACTACACCACTAAACTAGACCAGACCAAAACTAGTACTAAACCAGATCTAAAAAGAATCCAAAAAGTCACAACTAGGAATCCAGACTAGACCAGGACTAAACCACAAGTTAGTTTTAACAATTGTGGTACGTTCAAATTATTATGGAAAGTTTGAATTTTTTTTGAATTTTTTTTAAATTTTTTTATTTTTTAGCAAGTTTTGAAATTTCTGAAACAAAATCAGTTGAGTTTTGGACTTGTCTTTGTACCATATTTGTCAAAAATGTGCAATAAATTGATCTTATAATGCAAATATAAACAATATTACAAATTATTTTCAATGTGAAGTTTATTTCTGGGATACAGTTTGTCAAATATTGCCTTGATGTTTTTTTTTTTTTTCAGATTTCTGTTCCATATCTGTACTTGTTTGTCTTTTTGTTTTGAGATTGTGTCTGTTTTTGGATGAATTATCTGTAAAAAATAATAATAATAATAATAATCGCCTTCACCGTTCACTATTTTTCAGTTCTGTTGGGAAGGGATGTCCGAATCCCAGAACTAAAATATGACAATATCAGAACCAGAAACAAAAGTGATATGGTTCAAAAGACTAGAAAAGATCGACTTTGTCAATAGACACATCCCACTGGGAAAACAAACATGGAGGTTTGATGCTCACTTTTTCTGAAAATCCTTCCCAGTTTGGATTACACAATGACCGGAAGTCCCAGATTCTTGATGCGTGTCTTAGTCTTTTAATTTGAGGTAGATTATGGAGCCTGATTTGAATATTTTGGGCTGGGACTGTTTTCTTGCACTTTTGTACTTGTACACTGTGCTGTGACGTCACTCCGGTCTGTGTCCTGATTTGCCCTTTGCCCAAAAAAAAAAAAAAACAGTCAAAGTCAAACTATTCCAAGGCCATTAGCTCCGTGATGCAGGGAGGAGGTTCCGCTCAATTAGGTTTACAGTGGTCGCTCTTCACTGACCTCCTCCTGGAAGTGTGAACGAAGTGTGGACGACGTGCTCACGCTGCGTAACCACGACATCAACAACTACCCACGACCACGTTACCAGCAGCCACAGAAG